AAGCATGGCAACGCATCTTGGACCACGACCAGTATGAGATTTACCAACATGCAGCCCACCGTTTGGCAAGCATCTATGAGGATAAAGACCACTATTTGCACAGCAAACCTGGGCGTGCAACGGGTCACAAAACCAAACAACGCAAGAAGAACCTCATCGACCAATGCAAGCAGCCATGGCAATCCGGCAACAACCAGTGGAAACCCCACAGAAGTGGGTACCAGTGCCACACATGCCATACAAGGGTACACCAGGGCCTAACTGCAGCCACCATAGAAACCCGGCTTGAAGAAGACTGCGGGCAGTTGAACACTCCCGCACCAGAACCGGATCTACAACCTGGCAAAGCAGTAGGCAAAAAAACCACAAGAGCCAGCCGCATTGCCACCATCCTGAAGACACACCCACCACGGCGGATGCCCATGTCTATCAGGAGACTGCAGGGTACCTGAAGTGCACCAAATGCAACTAGGCAGTCCACAATCGAGCTAACGAGGAGGTTTTCAACAAGTTCCTCGAGAGCACCTGCATCGACGGAGCTTTCACCAGTGAGCATCCCGCACACTCCTCACACACCCTTTGGCAAAGAGGAAGGGCAACTCACTGCAAGGGATGCGGCCTACAAAGCCACCTGGACGACAAGGAGAGGCTGGTACTCACTAAAGGGCTGAGGAAAGAGTGTCGGGGCCACAAGCCGAATTCCCCCACCTTGCTGCAAGTCTTCAGCCAAACCAGTCAGACTGCCCGTCAATCAAAGGGGAATTGGAGAAGGGCAAAACAACGACGAAGTCACTCAGCAGACAGGACAGCCACTCTCTGTCACCACCGGCCATGACACCCAGCCACAGGAGGTGACACCTACCAGACCGAGCTGCACAACTAGCCTGTCTCCACCTGCTCCGGAGAAACTTCGGTTCTCGGCATCCAGCTCACCGGCCAGAGCTAACACTCAGACTGCACTTGATGAGGCACTGGTGGCTGCACCCAGGAGCAGCGATAGTCCCGAAAGTGCAGAAGAGGAGATCCGCGAGATCGACCCCATCACTGTCGACTACTTCTGATGCGGCACTGAGCTTGGCCATAGGAACCTCCCGGCCCAAAAAGGGCACGAATAAGCAACTTTAGAAGGAAAAAACTGCATACATACATACATACATACATACATACATA